CATACAGAACCACAGGCAAATTTATAGTTTTGTATATTTTAATTTTTATGTTTTTGGACAGCAGACGAGAAGACAAAAGATCCTGGACTGAAGGGTAACAAGCATTACCAAAGTTCAATCACCTCTTAATTTCCTCCTGAATCAGGTCTCGATCTGTTATCAACATTCCCAAATATCTGAACTGTGCCACAATTTCAAAACATCTGTTTTCTATCGTTATATCATGATTTTGCCCTGGATTTGGTCATGAGACAGCAACGTATACTTAGTTTCCTCTGTGTTTACTTCTAGACCAAGGGTCTCCAAACTACGGCCCGCGATGTGATTTTATCCGCCCCGCGAAAGAATTGTGCAGAAATGCGTCAATTAAACTAATTTTCCAATGAGTACTGGTAAATGTGATTCCGAACTTATTGACCTGACATATTATACTGCAGTTCGATGGCTTACCTGTTGAAAGGTTCTTTCGCGCTTCTTTCAGCTCAGGAATGAAATTGCTATACTTCTTACCCAGAAAAACCATCACGAACCACTTTTATCAGATACCGAGTGGCTTTGGGAATTATCATTTTTTGCTGATCTGGTGAACCATATGAACCATTTGAATTTAAATTTGCAGGGTCAAAATAACTTAGTCTGTGATTTATTTGCACTTATTAAGGCATTCAGAGCAAAGTTGATACTTCTGGAAGCCAAGTGAAAAATTATAACTTTGCAGAGTTGCATAAAAAGGGTGAAGCAGAATTTCCTTCCTCGTTTGCAAATTTAGTCATTTCAGGTTTGACAGAACAATTTCGGAAGCGATTTGCTGATTTGGATTCCAGTGCTCAGGAAATTAGATTGTTTCAAAATCCGTTTCACTGTGATGCTGCAGATGTCCCAAGTCAAATTAAAATGGAAATTATTGAACTTCAGGAAAATTATCATATTGAAGACAAATACAAGGAAGGAAATTTGATCAAATTTTATAAATTTCTGAACTCTGAGCAATTTCCAAATTTAAAGAAATTTGCTTGTAAATTTATCTCCATTTTTTGGGACGACATATCTGTGTGAACGAACATTTTCCCAGATGAAGTACATCAAGTCGAAAAACAGGACAAATTTAGCCAATTAATATTTAAAGTCGCTACTTGTGATTAGCGTTTCAAAATTTGAACCTCAATTTAATCAGATTTTAAGAATGCAAAAATAGATCCATCATTCACATTAATTGTTTTATTATAATTTGTGATGAAAATATGAGCATTTGCTGCTACTGTCTATTGTCATTAATATGTGATAATTTATTCTCACAAACTTTGTATTTACTTCACGAAATTCTGTGCTTTCAATAAAACTCATATACCTAGAGTTATTAATTTCTCATTTTATCCGGCCCGTTGAAAGTGCTGAATTACCTAATGTGGCCAGGAGTTCGAAAAGTTTGGAGACCCCTGTTCTAGACCAATCTCCTTACTTGCGTCAATTAATGTTTGTGTGTTTTTCTTTATGGTATCTTTATTATCACCCAGTAGATTTACATCATCAGCATAGACCAACAGCTGATGTGTCCCATTTAATTTCAATCCAATCTGGTTTTCTTGGACCTTCTTAATGGCATATTCAGAAGCAAAGTTGAAAAGGAGTGGCGATAAGGCATCTCCTTCTCTTAGACCATTCTGGATAGAAAATTTATCAGAAAAATATTTACCTATACAGACTTAATCAGCTTAACTAATTTCGTGGGTATCCCAAACTCTATTATAGTATTGTACAATACTTCCCTCCTAACTGAATCGTAGTCTTTCTTGAAGTCTAGATATAGCTGATGTACTGTCTCATTGTACTCCCATTTTTTCACCAATAATTGACGAATGCAAAGAATTATGGTACCACCACAAAAAAGGACACCACCAAAAATTAAAAAAACTAACTTATTTTGCTACTATGTGACAAAAATGAATTCTTGTTAAACATAATTGTGTTAGCAGGTCTGCTTCTCTAGGTGGTGAAAGATGTCTTGCACCACACGTGATATGCAGTTGAACATTCACAGGTTCCAGACAAATGTTTGTTGTTTCTGTACAGAGTGTAATTATAAATCTTTTGCATAAATAATTTTACCAAACAAGCGAATTTGTATATGAAATCCAGTATCCTGGACAATTCAATAGCATGACCATACACAGATCTTTAAATACCATATCTCTATCTTTATTTTAATTCCATAGATCCTTACTGGCTACCAAATCCATCAACTATATAACATGTCACATATACATACATTAGTTCTAAATACATAACTAGTCACCTTACAACTAAATTCACAAAAGAAACAATAATTATGCATAATTCAGTAATTTAACAAGCATATAGGATTCCTCAAACTGACAGTAGTACCTTATTAAGATCATAGCTAAAATATATAAACAAATATCAGATTATAATCTATTAATTTATACAATAAACAACATTATAATAGGTTTAATTCATCTTGTGTTTAAAATATCTGTCCACTGTATAAAATGAATGGAAAGAACAAAAAATTGTTCAAGGCCAATTTAATTTTTTTATATTATGGGACAAATCCTTTATCGGAAAAGTTGAAATTTTGAACACCTTAATCCCAGTATAATATGTTGCCTTCTGATAAACTGAGAAATGAGATTGTGGATGATGCAAATCAGATTTGGCCCTAGTATTAATATGATGTACCACAGAATTTACTTTACTATGATGTTTATTATTGATCACAAATTATGGAAATTAATATATATACTGAGATTGTAGTGGTAATATTTTTAATTTTTTAAAATATTCTCTACATGAATTCCCACCATAATTCTGATAATTATTTTTTGTATTCTAAAAATGATATTACTATAATAAGAATTTCCCCCAAAATATTAGTCTGTATGTCATGATAAGAGTGAAAATAGGAATAATATACCATCTTCAGTTATTCTTGGAACAAGACTGGCTCAATTTTTCTAATTGCGAAACAAGCAGAACTTAAGAGTACAAATGTATCTATATGAGTTGTGGGAACATCCCACATTATCACGCATTTCTGCAACGCTCGCTCTTCACATCACTTTTCACCATCACGCGCGCTAACCAATCAGATTGCTTCAAACGATCGCATTTATACTACGCTCGGCGATAGTCCGCGTCTACACCATTACGCGCGCTAGCCAATCAATTCTTGCTCCTCACTTTCGAGTTTGGCTCCGCCCCACCGACCAGCGTATAAAAAGGAGCGACCCCAGAGTCGAGTTATGCAGTTTAATTCAGTACATCACCAGTCTACAAGCTAGCCACATCAAGCAACTTCAGCCAGCAGGCTTCGTCGCCAGCGCTCGGTCTTCGGAGACATCGGCAGGCTGCGCCAGGCACGACTGCCTCGGCCCTCCAGCGCTCTCACACCCGACTCACTGGGGCACCGCGCCTGGACTCGCCGGTGGTCGTGTTACGGTCCGACCCACTGGGCCTCTGGCGTAGCCACTGCCTCATGGCTACTACGACCGCGCTCGACGACTAGCCTTCACCAGCAACCGCCGCACTGCGATCGAGCAACCTCCATCACTTGCCGCACGGCAACCAAGCAACCAGCTGCCACGGTCGCACTGCGGCCACTCCACTCACCGCAACTAGCCTTTCTCCTTACCGGCGCGCACCGCGCTACCTCACCGGTCAAACATCTCAGCAGCCACGGTCCTTTTCAGGGCCAACAAACTGTTCCGAAGAAGTGGGTTGTCATCGGAGTAATGACAAGACTACACATCGATGACAAGAGAGCCCCACAGGGTATTAGTTTGGATTATCAGGGTTGCACTTAGGTGTGAAATAAACTTCCTTGTGGGATGTTGCAGAAGGGCTTATTTCAACAGGATTGTTAATGAATAATAATGAAACCTTTTCAATATTTCAGGTTTTCTGAGCACAGGTGATGAGGTGCTGCCTGGAAACTATGGCATGAAGGATCAAGTAGCAACACTACGTTGGGTAAAAGAGAATATTGCAGCATTTGGCGGTAATCCTGACAGCGTCACTATTGCAGGCTACAGTGTTGGAGGAGCTAGTGTGTGGCTGCATATGATATCACCAATGTCAAGAGGTATTTTAATTGCATAGTCTCAGGAGTTCTAAGGCAGGTACTACAGCAGTGGTGTAACAGACGACCACCTGGTTTGGCATTATAAATTTCCACTGATATTTTCATATCATGACCGTTAATTATCAGTAATCTAAACAAATTATGCAATATTGTAAATAACACTCTTTTAAGAATTATGACATCAGTGATGGGTTTATGAGCATTTGAGAAGTTCATATTAGTTACGATGAAATCTGAGAAACTGGCAGGAGGAAAGATTTCATAGCACCTGGAGTGACTTTCAGGCTTTTACTAGCTCTTCATATCACTTTAGTTATCTTGAGATATCTCTATTGGTTCGTTGGTGGGTCATTTAACGGCTTTGTTAACCAAGAAACTGGTTTATACATAACTTGGATTCTCATTCTGTATTTTGACCAATAGACAGAACAAAATGATACATTTTTTTAATTTGTACAATCTGTGATATTGCTGCAGGTTGAGTGTGATCGAATAAAGAATTGGGACCTTTGATATGAGATGTCTTTGTTTCATACTTATAGTTGGGAAAGAGGAGTTGCAGGATGGGAGGAACTTCTGTGAGCAGAGTGGCACACCATATTAGGTCACCAGAACCAAATTCTTAATCCTTTATGCTTATGTGTGCAGGTTTATTCCATCGAGCTATTTCTATGAGCCCATCCATCAACACTTTTTGGGATGTGAATGGTGATCCACTGACCCAGGCTAAGAAACAAGCTGCTGTGCTGAACTGTCCAAATAATACATCAAGACAAATCATCGATTGCCTCATGCAGAAGAGTGCACAAGAAATTGCTAGTACATATGGAGATATGTTATTTACATCCTTTCTTTCTTTCTTTCTTTCTTTCTTTCTTTCTTTATTGTGTGCATCCTATTGTATATCACTATATTATGGCCATCAACACTGCTAACAGAAGCATAGAACAGAAACAACCTCAATATCCAGCAGTGGAAAGAAGTGATAGCCCCACACAAGACACAACATATACTACATATATAACAATTTCTCCAGAGCTATCCACAGTATCACAGAAAGAAACAAGAGAAACTAGGGAACTTAGCATCACTTACATGTGAGTAATCACCCACATAACATATATGTAAGAGACTACAAATAACACTATCCCCCAAGATGAAGAAGTATCTTCTATTATACAGCATATCACCTTGGACATTTATTTCATTTCACAATGGTTCTAGTTTAAAATTAATTAATAATTAATCATAACAATTTTGAACATTCAAACAGAGATTTTGAACGATGTTTTAATGTTTTAACCTTTATGACTAATATTACAATTTGGTAACATAATGAAATGTAGAAATTGGCAACGTAATTTATATTATGAAAAAAGCAGTCTTCTGGGATTTGGCACCGTGTATATGTGGTATATATTAATTTAATTGCTAATGTGGATCCATATTAGAAACACAGTTTAATAATGAGTGTTTTGTCATGAAAACTGCCTGATGAAAAGCCAGTTGGATTGAAATGTATAGCAAATACAGAATAATAAACGAATGTTCATACAGTAACATTGGTTTATTTATTGAAATTTGTTGTGTTGATGACAATATTAACACCATAAAATAGCTTTCAATTTGTCCTTTTGCACAATTAAATACAGAGTTATATATCATCAGCAGTGCTGTATCCCAGATAGCCTTGTCAGCAAACTGACTGGATATTGAGTGGACAACTACGGTTTGATTCCCAGCATGGGTAGGATATATATACATATATATTTGTTACGATATGCAGTCTAGCTCTAGGGTTCACCAAATTTTCAGTTCATTGGTTACTGGAATAAAACAACTGGCACATGACAATAACTACTCAGCTCCTTTCAGAGTTGAGATTAAAAATCTGTGGAGCTGCAGCTCCACTCCATTATGTATTTATGGTATGGTGTGTAAGTACAGGATCGACAGCACCTTTTTCTGTGAATAGTAAATTAGAAGACTGGATACAGATCGTAAGATTTGAGGCTTTCACGGCGTGACTATGAAGAAAGCAGTCTTCTGAGATTTGTCACCGTGTATACTCGTATGTGGTGTTAACCGACGTTTCGGAGGAACGTATTGCCTCCATCTTCAGGGTAGAAGAAAAAATATAAGAAATCCGCAAGCGAAGAGACCGTGAGAACCGGTAAAAACAGACTGTGTTGGAAATATACACAGCTATGTGAGAGCAGAAAAGGAAGGGTATACAAGTGAAAACAGTATTGTGGGAAGGGGGGGAAAGGAGCTGGGACAAGCATGGTTTTGTGTTGGGGGAGAGAAAGGCAAGGTTAAAGGCTGGGCACTAACCCGTAAGCTGAGGAGGGGGGGTTGTTATGTTGGTTGGTCATGGCCTGTGTGGCCTTCTGGATCTGGCGTCATATCCCGGTGGGGGTGGATACAGATTGTTAGGAGTTGGGATGATGCTGTGTATATGGAAAAGATTATAATTCTCATCCACACCAATGTCTGAAAAGTTTCTGTTTACTGTTTTTTCATACATTTTATAATTTTTAGCTATTTATAATTCCAGTATTTCCCTGTGCTGGTTCATATTATTGATATGACTTATTGCTCTGACTAAAGCAACTATGAAGATTATGCTCATCTCTGCATAATATGATATTTTTATGTCAGTGATTATCCAAAACAAGTATATATTTCTTATTATGCTGATATTCTTTTTTATATTTTTGGTACATTTTACATCCTATACTGTGGAAGGTACATGGAATGTAACAACTTATANTGATCACCATGTTCATAGAAATATAATTATTATTATAAGTACAAGTATAAATCACTCCATCCAATGTGACCTGTAAGCTTTTTACTACATGAAAACTTAACACCCTTACATGTTTCGGTCTCTGTGAACCATCTTGTGCACTATGTATTGTAGCATATATGTGTACGTACTTTACGTCTAAACAACTTATGTGACGGTGGTTTCCTATTTGTAGTGATGTTTGCCCTCTGAAGATGGTCCACAGAGACCGAAACATGTAAGGGTGTTAAGTTTTCATGTAGTAAAAAGCTTACAGGTCACATTGGATGGAGTGATTTATACTTGTACTTATAATAATAATTATATTTCTATGAACATGGTGATCATTGTACTTTATTTTGAAAATTTCAGGATTGGGGATATGATCCAATTCTATTCTACACACCTGTTATAGAACAAGAATCAGATGAAGAACAATTCCTCACAGAGAGCCCCATGAAATCCCTGTTAGACGGTAAATTTATGAATATACCTTGGATGACTGGCATGAACAAAGACGAATTCATCTATCGTGCTCTGAGTTAGTATCTTGCTTGGTGTCTAAAAGATTAGATTAAAATATCTGCAGCAGGGCTTTTGTTAATATGTGTACCACAGTACAGAGACTGAGAGTCTTTGAGAAGAAATTGCTGGAAAAGTATATCAGCCAGGAGAGTATGAAGTAATAGGAGAATAGTGGAAATTACATACTGAGGACCCTCACAGTTTATACTCATTACTTCATACTGTTAATATGACTAAACGAAGCAGCATGACGTGGGTGTGACTATTGTGTTGGAATCAATAAATATAACAAACCCTTGTCCAAAGCAGAGGACAGGTTCTCTGAGAAAGGAGAAATTAATTATATTAATGACTGAAGAGAGATATGTGAATTTATATTCACAAATGGCCTAACCTGTATTAGTTTATGTTATTAAAAGTACCAGAATCTATATCTTGTAGACATTTAGAATTTAACTGAACTGAAGTATATGGATAACAAATTGATCCATAGATTGCAGGGCTGTTGTGGTTTTTGGAGGTAAATTATTACCTAGACCCTAGAATTACTGAATTGTAGTCTTTTGGCTTTGTAGCCAGGGAAAACTGCGTATCTTCAGATTTTCTGCATTTGTCAAATAATTTTTGAGGTTTATTTTTGGCATGTATGACCAAAACCCACATTGAACAAATGTTGCATTGGAGAGTGGTTAACTATACATAAAAGTTCTGGAAGAAAACTCAAAGGTTAATGAAAATTAGTCACTTCTTGTCTGCCATGATTAAATCAGTGGTTGGACAGATGCAGACTGACAGACTGACTGGGCAAGCACTTGGACTTTGGTAATAAGGTTTTGGGGACACGCGGTAGCATAGTTGGTTAAGGCCTTATGCTACAAGCCAGAAGGTCATTGGTTCATATCCTGATGAGGTTGTTGGTTTTTTCAATTGACCTAACCCTTTCTGTTAGGGGCTGAGTCGACCCCAGGGCCATAGTGCGGCTGGAAGGGTTACCGCACTATGGCCCTGGGGTCTACTCAGCCTCTAACAGAAACGAGTACCAGGAATCTCCCTGGGGGTTAAACGGCAGCTGGTGCAGGAGGCTGACAACCTAACCACCACCCATGAGCCGATTGTCTAGATAATGTGGGAACCTTGACGTCTCACAAGCCTATGGGCCTTCAAGGCCTGTTACAAGAATAGCTTTACCTCTTTACCTCTTACCTTTACATATATTTCTTTTATTGGAATCTGAAAGAAGTTGTCCCTAGTGGAAGATGAATCAAGTTCAGTAAAGATTAATGTTGAATATATTTTAGGTATTAGAATTTTATACAGTCTTAATAAAGGTTACTGAGGCTTGGTATTCTTGGGGCTGTGTTCAGGGCCTGGATGAGACACGGATATTTACGATTTTCATAAAGCAGGGAGCAAAAATCTGAAAGTTCAACCTGTACAAATAAAGAGAATAATATTTCTTATACTTTAGTATAATGCCACTCATGTTTTATCTTCCTGTTTTAGATGTGATTAGCAATAGCAGTTGGGCAGAGGACATGTATGAACGTTTTGATGAAGTTTCACCAATTGCATTTATGTATGAAAAAGAAACAAACAAATCTTACGGTGCCAGCCATGGTCTTAAGGAATTTTATTTGCATAATGAACCAATAACTTTACACTCACTCACTGGTCTTGGAAATGTAAGTACTATGTATGGAGGTCGAATGTAAATTCACAGCTTATGTCAAGGAAGAGGTGTTAACACATGAAAATACTCTTTATTCCTCTGATGTTGTAGAATACATATATATACTTTAGTTGAAAGCATGAATTCACAAACTGTGAGTATCAACCCTTGAAGAGGGTCATGAGCTATTAAAAGTGGTAATCAAATTCTCAAAAACTCTTTTTAAATTTAGATGTATCCATGTACAGGTATGGAAGTCAGTAAGTTATGGGAAGTCAATAAGTCAGTAAGATTTAAAATAAGTGTTTTTATAAAATGTAGTAGCAGCTGCCAAACATTTTATGAATCTTTTTATTACTCTGCAGGAATATTTTGTGGCCTACTGTAAGTATAGGGAGGTTGTGAAACTATTTATTGAATTGAATTGAATTGAATTGAATTTATTAACATTCCGTAAATCCAGTACAGGTGAGACACCATAGGATATGGAACAAGTCAAGTTAGAATACATAGTAGCTATACAATAATACAGTAATATTGCAATTAAATGAGGTAAACTTATACATACATACATACATACATATACATTTGCGTTTCAGATTATTCACAAATGTGCACAGGCACAGAATATAAAACATGTCAACAAGCCAACAAGACATTGGAAGCTTGTACATTCACAAACAAAATCACTAGCATATATAATCCATACTTGTCAAAATACTATAATACTTATAATACACATTAAACAATGATCAAGAAATTTATCAAGATTTATAATGGACTAAAATAAAATAAAATTTCCATTAAGACATTCATTCATTACTCATTCCATTAATCAAGTGCGTCAAATTAAAATGCATATAAAAGAGACAATCAATAAAATAGAGACAAATAAAACAGGATAATTACATAATTTGTAGTTTATGACATATTTCTATATCAGTTCATTTGTTGTCACAATCTGTGTGTTCTCTTACATTACACATTATACCCATTTCTGTTGGTAGTATTCTTTCATGGAATAAAAGGAGTGATGAAGTAAAAATCTCTTTAGTGCTCTCTTAAAATTTGGTACATCCAAAGTCAACTCTTTTAAAGTTTGAGGTAAATGGTTGAAGGCTTTAATACCCGCCACATATGCACTCTGACTATACTTTGTCAGGTTCACAGAAGGCAAATATAGATTATTATGGGTTCGGGTTTTATGTTCATGAATCATGGTAATAGCATTAAAAAGATGATCATTATTAATCGTGAATAAAATCAATGAGTATATGAATTGGGAATAGAATGAGAGTATTTCGAATTTCTCAAATAGATGTCTACATGATTCTCTTGGACCAAAATTTGCAATAATTCTCATAGCCTTCTTTTGTAGTCTAAAGACATTGCAGGCATAGGAAGCGTTACCCCAGAAAATTATGCCATAGCTTAAAATGGAGTGAATGTGTGCAAAATAAATTACCTTTAATGTATCTAATGGGATAAAATGCTTTATGTTTCTCAACGCATAACATGACCTTGCAATTTTATTGATAACATAGTTAATATGCTGTTTCCATGTGATGGTATCATCAATAATTAGTCCTAGAAATTTAGTTTCTTTCACCTTTGGTAACAGGTATGTTCCTGTTATTACCATATAAATTGATGGGAACCGGTAAAAATGTGCAGAACTGCATTTTTTGATGATCAGCAGAGACAGATCACATAAATTTGTGTTACTTTATAGTGTTGTGTTGTCACAAAGTTTTGTGGACTTGCAGTTCAAAGTTTCAATTCTGTTGTGCCAGATAACTGAAGACCTGTTTTATTTATTTGGTGAAATAGTATCTGAAGTTACCATCAAAGTTTTGTGATCAGTAGGTATATTTAGAAATTAAATGTACTTCAGGGAATTTAGAAGGCTGTGTGCATTAAAGAGTCTGTAATTTTACAAATTTAACATTTTTTAGTCTTAATGGCCATATTATTCTAACAAAAGCAGTGCTTTGTTCATAAAATTAATCATTCTACAAAATTATTTGCAGCTTATTTTCACCTGTTTAAGAAATTGTAATTGTAGAACTATGTGGTTCTTTGTCATTGGATTCTATGCTGAGGCAGTTTCATAGACTGTACCCTATTGCAACCTATTTCCATAAGTTTCAATTTAATATTATCCTACATCTACATCTTGGTCCCTCAAGTGATTGCATTAAGTGGACTTTTGTCATCAAAATCTGTGTTTTGAGCCAGAATAGTTTAGTCACTAGGAACTGGCTACATGCTGGATGACCAGCATTTCATTCATGGCAGTGACAGGAACTTATCTCAACTGGAATACTCAAACTTGTACCAAGTACTAGAGATGATATGGACAGAATTGAAACCTTATTAGTCATTATCACTTAATACTGAGGTCCAGAACTTCAACTCTATGCCTCCTATGTTTCTTCATGGTGTGACAACTTTCATTTTAGATTCATTTTAATATTATCCAGTGTGTATACCTTACTGTCCTAGGTGATTTATTCTAAATAAAAATATGCATGCATCTCTTTGTTTATTACCCAGATGAAATGACTTTAAAAAGTCAGAAGAATGAATAGTGAGGGTATTTGAAAGTGAAGTGGTGAAAATAATAAGTGACTATGAGAAAGAGGAGAACACAGGAAATTAAATATTGAGACACTTTACATTTTGTACTCTTTACACAGGATTTCTGGATAGTTAAATCAAGACCGAGATGGCCAAGATATAAGTGTTGCTATGAGGATGTGAAATGGATTGAACTGGCTTAAGATACTCATACAGTCCAGTTGTAGGATTTTATGGTGTTAGCTAAATAAGATGGGAAAAATTTTATTATGTTGAGAAGATTAACAGTAGCAGAATAGCTTATAGAAAAGTGGAGCTAACATACAATTATTTTAAGACACTGGTTAGAACAAAGTATGAAGGTCAAGGTGGTTCAAAATAACTAATGTAGTGAAACAAGGAAGTGTCCTCTCACCAGTCTTGCTTAATGCCATGGTACATGTAAATGCTAATACAAATTAGAGCACTGAACAAAAGACCAGGCATGAAAACATCATTGGAATTGAAATTTAAGGAACAATCCAGAACAAGATGCTTCAAGCAGGTGCTGCAAGATAAGAAGAAGAGAGGAACATACTAGCAAGAAAACAGAAAAGAAGAGATACAGATTCGTTCAGTATAATCCAGTCTTTCAAGGTGGACCAGTTTCCTTTAGGTTAAATATAGATACAAATATTTGTGTAATTCACATTAGTAACAGTTTACACATTTTTCCTTTGCATTCCAGAACTCGCATATAATTTTTCTTTTAATTCCAATTGTTGCAGCTCTACTCAGATGCTATTATTCGCTATGGCCAACACCTCACATCTAAATTGGTTTCCAGTAGGAGCAAAGAGCCTGTGTTTTCCTACCTCTTCGAGTATCAGGGACGATATAGTCATGCTTACTGGCCAAGGACTCAAAATCCATATGGTAAGTTGTATATGATATATGTATATTACAGGTACAGATTTGGAATGATTTTTAATTGGGAACTGTGATAATTATGGTGTGAAAACAGGATAGTTGTTGCTACTAATTTTACCTAATACTGTATTGTCCATTTATTGATACAAAAATCTACATATGATTATCTGTTCCTGCCACTCAGATACTTCTGACATCTTTCAGGTCTTGCACTTAAATGCTAAAGAGGTATTGTAAACAATCAGTTCACTCTGTATTAAAAAAGTCTGTTTTCAAATTCCAGGTGTGGTCCACCATGATGACCTGATCTATCTGTTCTATATATCTACACTTTTCCCAGAGTTTAAGGCTCAGGACCCTGAGTCACAAATGGTTGAAAAACTCACGCAATTATGGGCCAACTTCGTTCAAACTGGGTAGGTATTATACTCTTTTGCATAAAAAATTGAATATAGTTACATCAGATACTGAAATAACACGTATGTCACTAATTTAATGAAACTTCTGGTAATCTAAATTATGTTATAAGCAGTTCATATGGGTAGGTAGGTAGAATGGATAGATAGGCAGGCAGGAAGACAGACCAGACAGACATACTGGGAACAGATTTTACCAGATTAAGAAGAGAGGCAGGGAACAGATTAAACCAGAGAAGACAGACAACAGAGTGAAACTAAATTCACACTTCTTCACAGTGTGATTCCTTGTTAAACAAAGAGTTGTAAATTTTATACAACATGAGTCCTGAGATGCACAGATTTTGAGGTACACAATTTTCATTCCAAGATAAATCTTTAGTTTTACTCCCTCCAAAACTGTTAAGTTTAATTAGACTTTTAAATTAGATACACTTTACATGTAGATGAACTGAAAAACCGTGTATGTATTGAAGCAACTCTGTTCAAATTTACAGGAATCCCACTCCAGAAAAGTCAGAGCTGTTAGATAACGTTACATGGGAGAGAATGACTGCTGAGAATCTTGCATATTTGAGTATTGGCCATGAACTGAAGATGGATAAAGGAATGTTTGAGGACCACATCGCTCTGTGGGAACAACTCTTTCCACCTCAGTAATAATATTTTAACTCCTTTGCAGTTATAACATAAAAGAAGTGTAAGTAATAGCATTATAAAAATTGAGTATCCTTGCATAAATTTCGAAGGGACATGTGTAATACAGAAAAGTCGTGGTAATGTAGAAATATGTATAGTAAGCCCATCAGTATTGCCTGTCTCTTAACATTAATACTTGAGTAATTAATTTTCAAATTATTTCTTTTGAACTACCATGCAGTCCTCTAATCCAGGTTTATGGTAGAAATTGGACTCTTATAGCAGCCCCTGATGATAGATTAGTATAGAATACTGAGATCAGTGCTCAGGATAAACCTGTCTTAATGTCCATTTATCCACCATGGATCCCATAAGGGTTACCTTGTTATTGAACCAAGGCATCAGCACCTATTCTTCTGAGCTATGGCAAGGCTATAATGAGCAATGAATAATGTTCAGGGCTTGTATAATGCCACTTATTTTGATTCTGTAACATTCGTAGTTCACATGTTCTTATGTGAATTTTATATTTTAATAACCTTTATTTTGTATTCTTATATCAGGTTAATAGAACTGAATTTACATTAGGTTTGTGTTTGTAAGAAAATACAAAATGCACTGTTCTGAGAAGGTAGGTGTCAGATGATGATGGCTCAAGGTCATGGGTATTCTAATGTGGCATATATGCTTAAAGCGAGAACTGTGGAACCAAAGTGACAGCCATTAGTGAGTAACAGCTTTGTAACATGCAACAATGAAGTAACTGTTGGAAGTGGTGTTTTCTGTGCTGTCTATGCCAGAGATATATCTCAAGGACTAGATGCCATTACGAGATGGCAGTTGAAAGAGTAGGAGGCTGGTGTGAGATGGCTGCACCATGTGAGGATATGGGCCTGGAAGCAGAGGAACGTCCACTGTTAGAAGATTTTACCAAGAAGTGCAGTGAAGACTGTGACCGAGAACACTTGATCTTGTGTGATAGTGATTTGTGAAGTGCAGTCATGAGCTGTATGATTGTCCAATAAATCTGATTACCTATCAATAATCCATCTATAATCACTCTTATCAAGTGACACCATTTTAAAGTTGGCCCATAAAGTCATGCAGTGGTCAGTGTTCCTGCAGTAACAATACTTAGAAAAACTCAATTTGTTTTCTTTTTATCATTGCGCTTACCAGGGCTTACTCAGAGCTTACCAGCATACATACAAAGACAAATACAATTCCCTTGTACAGTGCTATTCCCTGTTCATTTAAGATACGTTTCTCAGTAAATTCATGTTATGGAAGCCAGAAGATTAACATCACAAATGCTTACCATTGCACCAAGTGCCTTGAGCCCAGTTCACATCTTCACACCTTTCCGAATATTTATTCTAATATTTTCAACCCATCTACATTCAGGTTTTTGAGTTCATTCTGTGACGTTGTCCATTAGAAATTCTCCCTGTGTTTCATGTTCCATGTTTCACATCTGGTCCACCTGAAGGTCTTTGATTTACTCATCCTGTTAGAAGAAGATCCATTCCTTCGTACATCATACATACATATACATATACATTTGCGTTTCAGATTATTCACAAATGTGCACAGGCACAGAATATAAAACATGTTGTGGGAACATCCCACATTATCACGCATTTCTGCAACGCTCGCTCTTCACATCACTTTTCACCATCAGGCGCGCTAACCAATCAGATTGCTTCAAACGATCGCATTTATACTACGCTCGGCGCTAGCCCGCGTCTACACCATTACGCGCGCTAGCCAATCAATTCTTCCTCCTCACTTTCGAGTTTGGCTCCGCCCCACCGACCAGTGTATAAAAGAGCAGAGTTATTCAGTTCAAGTCAGTACATCACCAGTCTACAAGCTAGCCACATCAAGCAACTTCAGCCAGCAGGCTTCGTCGCCAGCGCTCGGTCTTCGGAGACATCGGCAGGCTGCGCCAGGCACGACTGCCTCGGCCCTCCAGCGCTCTCACACCCGACTCACTGGGGCACCGCGCCTGGACTCGCCGGTGGTCGTGTTACGGTCCGACCCACTGGGCCTCTGGCGTAGCCACTGCCTCATGGCTACTACGACCGCGCTCGACGACTAGCCTTCACCAGCAACCGCCGCACTGCGATCGAGCAACCTCCATCACTTGCCGCACGGCAACCAAGCAACCAGCTGCCACGGTCGCACTGCGGCCACTCCACTCACCGCAACTAGCCTTTCTCCTTACCGGCGCGCGCCGCGCTACCTCACCGATCAATCATCTCAGCAACCACGGTCCTTTTCAGGGCCAACAAATTGTTCCGAAGAAGTGGGTTGTCATCGGAGTAATGACAAGACTACACCACGTTGACATTAGAGCCCCACATTGGTGACCCCGACGTGATTGAAAGCGCGTGTGGTGAACATCAAGTAACGACTCTACGTTGGATCATCACGGCCCAGCATAGACGCAGCATACACTTCGCAAACAGCAACATCACTTCTCGCAAGGGGGGGAGTGATGTGGGAACATCCCACATTATCACGCATTTCTGCAACGCTCGCTCTTCACATCACTTTTCACCATCAGGCGCGCTAACCAATCAGATTGCTTCAAACGATCGCATTTATACTACGCTCGGCGCTAGCCCGCGTCTACACCATTACGCGCGCTAGCCAATCAATTCTTCCTCCTCACTTTCGAGTTTGGCTCCGCCCCACCGACCAGTGTATAAAAGAGCAGAGTTATTCAGTTCAAGTCAGTTCATCGCCAGTCTACAAGCTAGCCACATCAAGCAACTTCAGCCAGCAGGCTTCGTCGCCAGCGCTCGGTCTTCGGAGACATCGGCAGGCTGCGCCAGGCACGACTGCCTCGGCCCTCCAGCGCTCTCACACCCGACTCACTGGGGCACCGCGCCTGGACTCGCCGGTGGTCGTGTTACGGTCCGACCCACTGGGCCTCTGGCGTAGCCACTGCCTCATGGCTACTACGACCGCGCTCGACGACTAGCCTTCACCAGCAACCGCCGCACTGCGATCGAGCAACCTCCATCACTTGCCGCACGGCAACCAAGCAACCAGCTGCCACGGTCGCACTGCGGCCACTCCACTCACCGCAACTAGCCTTTCTCCTTACCGGCGCGCGCCGCGCTACCTCACCGATCAATCATCTCAGCAACCACGGTCCTTTTCAGGGCCAACAAATTGTTCCG